TATTCAAGAAGTGGTTGATGACCTCAGTTCAGTTTTTGAAATGAAAGACATGGGAAAGCTAACCTATTTCTTGGGTTTACATATTGATTATAATGCAGAGAGTGATATATTTGTAAGTCAGAAGAAATATGCTACAGAACTTCTACATAAAGCAGGTATGAGTTCCTGCAGACCCTGTTCAACTCCTAGTAAGCCACATACTCAAGTATTGCAGTCTGAGGGTACACTTCTATCTGATCCCTCATTATATCGAAGTGTTGTTGGAGCTTTACAATATTTAACATTTACCCGACCAGATTTATCCTATGCTGTCAATTCTGTTTGCCAATACATGACTGCTCCTACAGAAATTCATTGGTTACTTGTTAAAAGGATACTCAGATACATTCAGGGCACTCTAGATCATGGATTGAAGTTCTCTAGTGGTCCTTGGCAATTACATGCTTTTAGTGATGCAGATTGGGCAGGAGATGTGAATACCAGACGATCTACTACGGGATTTGTGGTTTTCTTAGGTCCTAATCCTATTTCATGGCAATCCAAGAAACAAACCTCTGTGGCTAGGAGTTCAACAGAAGCTGAGTATCGATCCTTGGCACATACCTCCGCTGATATAGCTTGGATAAGGCAAGTGTTGCAAGATTTAAAAGTTCGTCTGCCTCAGCAACTTGTTTTGCATTGTGACAACTTGTCAGCTATTGCACTCAGTTCTAACCCTGTTTTTCATTCACATATCAAGCATTTAGATACTGATTTTCATTTTGTCAGAGAGAGAGTTCAAAGAGGAGACCTGATTGTTCAATACATACCAACTGAAGAACAAGTGGCTGATGTATTTACCAAAGGTCTTCATAGTCCTATTTTCCTCAAACACTGTATTAATCTTAGATTGGGAAACCCAACTGGGTTTGAGGGGGAATGATGACTGTACATGTCTAGTCAGCATATTAGCTGTAGATCACATGTATATCTTGTGGTCATTTAGGAGTTGTTAAGCAATTGTATAAAGCTCTTGTGTGTACGGTATTTGTTCATTAATAAAATACAAACAGTAAAGATCTCTTAGAAATCTCTGTGTTCTCTCCCTAGCTTTCTTCCTTCTTATCTCTTTCTGCAAATCTCACTTTTGTTATCATTGAAGAGTAGCAAGCCATTCGAAGATTATAAAAATATATCGAGGGAAAATCATGGAATATATATATTAATTATTCATGAACGTAGTAAACAAAGAGCCATTAGATTATTTGGGTAAAAGCAAGAATTCTAAATGCAGAGACTCATGATCCATAGTGAGACAATGTCTATGATGATGCCAATTTTTTTGACGAGAATGATGATGCCAATTTAGTTTTAATGGAATCAACCTAAAATTATGTTCTAATCAAGCATCCGCCAAGACCAACACCAACCAAATCTAGCGAGGTCTATGATGATGTTATTTATTTATTTAATTTGTTGTGACAATCTTATTTTTATCTTCTAATTTTATTTTGTTTCTTGTATGTTTTATTTTTAAAATAAATCAGCATACCTATTCAATAATAATAATATTACAAATTTAGTTATATACCCAATCTTAAATATAGTCTTATAAAGAAACTCTATATCATTTAAAAACTATTGTTGGGGTCTTTTTCCGTCAGAAGGCTCGTCCGAACTTGTTGATTCTTGGACCGCCATAGAGTAGTGAATCAAGCTTTCATTGCCCCTTTTTCTGAGTTAGCGAGAACTAGGCCCAAACGGCTCGTGCACTTGCGAGTATCACAAGTTGAGGATGCAACTGAATCCATTTTGGTGCAGCTGTATCTACGCAACACTAGGCCCAAAGCATCCTGAGGGAGAAGCAAGTCCCAGGGGAGTACTCTTTTCTTCTTTCAGCGACTGCATGTTTTGTGTTGACGTTTCCGGCAGCTAGATGAAGAGTTGGAGATGGTGCATTGATGTTGCACAAGCTTGGCATGAGAGTTTGTTTTGGTGAATTAAGATACTACTAGGCTTGGCATGAGAGGCTTGTGGCGTGGGAGCTAAAAGAAAATGAGTATAAAGAAATGATTAAGGCTTGAGATTTTGGGTGTTTTCGGTAGTTAGACGAAGAGCTTGCAATGTCTGCATTTTCTTACCAAAAAAGTAATGACTATGCACTATGCCAAAAAAGGCCTTTAGCAACGGATAAAATCCGTTGCCTATTACCCATAAATACCGTGGTATTCAAGCCTGTTGCCTATTACTATGTAATAGGCAAGGGATATTATCCGTGGCCTTTGTATAGTTACAACATCGGATATTTGGTAAAATCCGATGCGTAAATGATTTCCGTGTGCCAAAAAAACGTTGACCTCTGACGCCTAAACCTGAAACAACATCAGTAGTTTCAAAAGAGAGGAGGCTAAAGAGGTATTACAACATCAGTAGTATCTACTATACTGGTGCGTATTATCAATTACAACATCGCATAACCAAATAATGTTGTTGCAAATTATGTTATATGTCATCGCTTTTTCTATTTTGCGTATGTGAAAAGCCTCCAATAGTGCTGGTTGTCATATAAATACTAATGCTACTTCTAGTTTTAGGCATCAGTGATCATAGATGTCTGGTTGTTGTTTTTATCTTTCAACTTCAGTTATTTCTGGAAAACTGAAGTTGTTATAAACAATAGGATCACTTAT